ATCTGCTGCTTCATGGATAGGATCAAAGAACACAGCCTGTCTCTGACTCAGGACGATGACGCTGCGTCGAGGGACCGCAGCAACCCTAAATGACCCAGCACAAGTCCCCAAGCCCGGCGCTGTGTCCAGACTTGCCCCAGGGCTGGATGAGCCCGTCCTGCCCTGGCAGGAGCAGCCCAGGCTCAAGGCACAGCCCTGCACAGCTTGTGTTTGTCCAAAAGCAAGTCTCTGTAATCCCCCCCCCCCTCTAAATGCAGGCCTGACCCAGCGACGAGAGATTTTGAACCGCCGCGGGTGCCGGGGAAGGGAAAACCCTCTCAACCCTCATCCAGCGCTGCTAAACAAACCACTGGGCAGTCCTTCTCATTCCTTCCTCTCTCCTTCTTTTTCCTTGCTGAAAGCAAATGTGATAAACAGAGAACCAGACAATGACACCACTGTTCAGCTGCCGCCATATCAGCGCAGGAAATTGTCTCTTTCTTTAGATCCTCTTTTATTGCTATTTCTGTAATCCGCTGGGATCGGCAGAGATAAGAGGTTCTTTTGAGAAAAGGCTTGGGGGACTTGTTATAATAAGATGCCACCTCCATGCAAAGTTGTAGGCACGAGGTAAAGCAAAATAAAATAAAAATGGAGACTTTTATCCAGCTCCTCTAGACCATAAGGCAGCCTTGGCCACAGGCTCAGATGGGGTCAGGGCAGAGGTGCCGGGCAGTGTTTGGAGGTGTGGGTCCGCCCCGTGGCATCCTCAGGACTCGAGCGAAACTCCAGCCGTGCTCTATGAGGAGAACAACGGCCCGGCCGACACTCCTGGCTTTTCTTTTCCCAGGTGTGCTGATCCTCCGCGGTGCCCAGTGGGGCCTCAGTCCCGGCAGCAACGGGGCAAAGGCGAGGGGATCCCTCCCTGCAGCGACCTGGAGATGCCCTGCCGAGCATCCCGTGCAGCATCAGTACCACCACCGGGTGATGCCCAATGCCTATACCCCCAGTTTTCATCCCATGGACATGCTCAGAGCCAGATCCTCTGTGCAGGCTGCGTAACGACACCTTTTTGACCTTTTTCTCCCCAAGACTGCAAACCAGCAGCTGAAGCATCGAGGCAGTACTGAGCAGCCGATTCCTCCAGCTGCCCCTTTGAGCGCATCCATTGCCCTTCAGCCGCAGCCTGGAGACACTCAGAGCTCACATCCCACGGCAGCATGGCCGAGCCGAAACACCACAAAATCCTCCTGGGATTGCTCAGCGGACGCCACGGCAGCAGCAGGCTTTAAGAAAGAGAGCTGCGTCCAAGGGGAGTTGGGAACATCACTTTTTCTGCCTCTAATCAGCTTGTTAGCAGCTTAATAACAGAGAAGCCCTGCACATTACAAGCCCCCGAAGTGAGGCACAGCCTATTGTCGAATTGCTGCTTGACAGCCAGCTTTCGGCAGCCCTAAATTATCCCATGACAAGCTGCAGTGAAGAGGTGAGCAACCTTGCGCATAATCTACAATCATTATCATTTCCATCTTTATTACCCACAGTATGCCGAGCACATTAAGGAGGCTTTAAGGGAGCTTTTGTTTTGCAATAATTTCTTAAAAAACCTGCTTTCTTGTTAGTATCTCCCCTGCCATGTCATCAAAATGGAAATGCTGCAAAAGGCTCCGTTTATTTCCTTTAATTCTCCTTCATGCTTCTAGCCAGCACGGGCTGGCTTAGTAGAGACTTTTTGGTTGAGCCAAGGTTAAAGGTGCCTGTGCAGACCTGGCCTCCTTGAGCTCCAGGGTTTCATGCTCTGAGCAGAGACAGCTCTCCAGGACACACGTGAAACTCTGGTGTCCACAGCAAAAGATCTCCTGGTCTTTCCCAGTAAACCACCCCCCGCCCTTCTGCAATAGGTGTTTCCAAAACCCGTGGTTTAGCATCATGGGGGATACGCTCGGGGGAAATTATCCCAGTCGTGATGGGTCCAGAGAGGGAATTCAGGCGGTGGGTCACCCCAGGGATTTCCAGGGAATAGCAACACCGAGGTTTATTTGTCACAGGCAGCTCCAGGCTGGCAGGCGTGAGCTGTTTGCATTTAACAACAATGCGATTCTCGTTTTGGCTGGCAGGCAAAGGGGATTTGGGTCTCATTCATGAGATTTTTCTTCTTTGTTCTCAATCCCTCTCACTTGAGCACGGAGCTTCATCCGGGCTGGCCTCGGTCCCGCGGGTACCAGCACCTCCAGGAGCTGAGGACGGGGAGGAGGACAGGCAGACAGGTTGTTTCACAGCACAAATCCACCTCTGGGATTATCTGGCCTGGCCTCGTCTACGCTGTGTGCAAAGTCACATTTGGAGTTGCAGGGGATGCTCACTCCCCGAGCCCCTCAGTGAGACGGAGCCACTCTGCTCTCCCTGCAGCTCTGTGCCACCCTGCCCGCTGCAGCTCAGCCGAGCAATTTGTCGTCGGTGCTGTGTTGCCAAACACATAGGTGTTAATTAAAATCACAGCGAAACGGTAATCGAGTGAGAAGCCGCAAGTTCCCGCACGCCCCGACGAGGGAGGGGACACACCAAGGGGTTGCTCTGCTCCCTCTCCTTTGCCCTTGCCCTCTGCTACTTCCAGCTCTCAGGGATTTTGGAGAGCAGGTCCATCTCTCCAGCCTCCATCACTGACTCAGCACTGGGAAAAGGAGCCAGCTGGGCAGCGCTCGGTCCCTTTTCCATGCAGAAATGGTGCTCATGACACTGGGGGCCTGGATCTGCCCCGGGGACTCGTCCTCCCCCAGCCCACACGGCAGCAGCCTGTGCTGCCCACGGCTACCCTGTCCGGAGAGGGGCAACGGGGCCAATGGGGCACAGACAACCAGAGGGAGAGGGAGGAGATGAAACAAGTCTGACTCAGAGTTTAAAGTTGGACAGAGTGAGGAAAACCACAAAAAATGGGAAAAGGAAAATGGGATTGGAGGCAGTGGTCTCTGCTCCCCGGTACAGCAAGAGGTTTGCAAACCAATGCTTCATACCACGATTCCCAAGCCGGCCGGACCGCAGAGAAGCGCCCTTCCTTGCTTAGGACATGTCAGCCTCTCTCAGCCCCCTTCCTTGCAGCCCACAGGGTCACCAGCCAGACCTCTCCCCTCCTCCCTTACCTTTTCCGCCGACTGCGACGTCCCAAAAAATATAGGGATGAAGGCTAACCACACAATGCAAGTAGTGTACATGGTGAACCCGATGGGTTTGGCTTCGTTAAAGGTCTCCGGGACCCCGCGGGTCTTAATAGCATACACAGTGCAGGTGACCATGAGAAGCATGCTGTACCCAAGCAAACAGATGAGGGAGAGATCCGAAATGTCACATTTGAGGATGCCCCGGGCAAAGTGGGGGTTTGTAGTCCGCTGGTCCTCGTAGTCAATGACAGAGTGGGACGGGTCCACGATGAACCAGATGCAGACGCCCACGAGCTGCAGCGAGATGAGGCTGAAGGTGATGACCAGCTGGGAAGCGGGGCTGATGAACCGGGGGGCACTCACCGACTTCTTGCCCTGCTCAAAGATGCGGTAGATGCGGTTGGTCTTGGTGAGCAGGGCGGCGTAGCTGATGCTCATGCCAAGCCCTAGGAAGATGCGCCGCAAGGAGCACGTGCTCAAGTCAGGCTCGGCGATCATGAGGAAGGTGGTGGCATAGCAGAGGAAGATGCCTGTCAGCAGGACATAGCTCAGCTCCCGCCCCGACGCCTTGACGATGGGTGTATCATTGTAGCGCACGAAGGTGACCACCACGAAAAGGGTGGCGATGATGCCCATGATGGCGATGAAGACGGGCACCACTGCCCAGGGTGAGCTCCACTCCAGCTTGATGATGGGGATGGGGGTGCAGCTGGTGTGGTTCTCGTTGGGCCGCTCATTGAAGTGGCACCGCTTGCAGTGGAACTCGTCCAGCTGGTACTGGTAGCCATCGCAGCGCTCGCAGTGCCAGCAGCAAGGAATGCCCTTCACCAACTTCTTCCTCTCACCTGGCTTGCAGGGCAGGCTGCAGATGGAGCTGGGGAGCTGGCTCCCGCCCCCCGGCCACAGCATGCTCTCCACCTGTGGGGCAAGATGGCACCAGCCCCACTGACGCTTGAGCTGGGCATGTCAAGCATCCCTGGGACAGGGGGGGATGCCCCACCTCTGCTAGCAGCAGTGTTGCCCAGATCCGGCCCCTCGCTCCATCAGTACATCCCATGAAGGACCCCAGCCCTACCTAGCATGGGGACAGGGAGGCGGTGAAGCTCTCCATTGGCCTTTTGGGAAGATTCAACACCCAAAACAAAGTCCCTCCTTCCCTGGGAAAACCCCCTCTGCTCTGTCCTAGCTTCTCCTTCCCTTATCAGAGCTGCAAAGTCGGATGCCAGAGCCTGCGGGATACGGTCACACATGCTGATGGTGGGTCACCGTGGCTGAACCACAAGTGTGTACTTGGGGGACACCCTCCCCTCTGACCCCTCCCCAAGTTTGGCTGCCTAACTTTGCACCCGTGGGCTCCCTGCCTCCCAGTCAGGTTTGCTACACCCTACGTGGCCTCGATGGGTGCAGGAGAAATCTGCAGGACCTTCCCCTTGGCACAGACAGTGCACGGCCACGCCGCAGGCACCAGCCAGCCCCCAGCCTTACTTTTAGGTGGAGGTGGTCGGTCCATTGCCCGATGACTTTGTACTCAGGAGTGGAGTTCCTGATCTGGTACTGGTAGATGTCGTAACGCCCCGGCGCGTCTCCGTTCTCGTTGAATGTCACAGGAGTCCCAGCAATGCCTGCAAGAGAGGCAGGGCTCAGCACCCGCAGCACCCAGCAGCACGGGGTGCCCTGGGTGATGGTGTCGAAGGGGACTCTGGTTTGATGCTTCCCCCTTGGCCTGGGGTTTCTCAGTGCTGGGAGTGCCACAAGCTGCCAGGGCCATGCCAGCACAGGCACAGGGTGGAGGAAGCAACTGGGGAAAAGAAAACCAGCCCCAAACCTAAGCTGGTGCAGGGACTTTATGGTATCGACCCACCGATGCCCCCAGGAGCCGGAGCTCACTGAGCGATGCCAGGCACCGAGCGCTGTTACACCAGGCGGTTTACTGCTTCTTTTAAGAAAGGGGGAAAAAGCAGCTTTAAAGTTAAGTGAACTGTGCAGATAAACACTAATGAAAGGAAGGAAGAGAAAAATCAAGCAAGAGGGAAAAATAAATTAAAGAGACACTGCAGAGGAGATCACAGAGTGGAGATAAATAGAAGTAATAAGGAGGACAAGACAGAAAATGTTTATTAAGGAGATAGAGCAGAGGAGAAGATGCATTTCCAGAGGAGATCTGAAGACAGACAAGGACACAGCAGCGTGATTCAGCGGGACCTCTGCCAGCCGTGATGCGAGGAGGCGGCAGTGGGGAGCAGGCGAGGGGAGAGGCCAGGCAGGCAGGATGGCAGGGTGAGGGCAGGATTGCTGCCGGGTTACTCTCCAAAGGCTCCTAGGAGATGTGGAATCTCAGACCTCCTCATCTGCTGATCTGCTGCAAAACCACCCTGTCTTTGCACCCAGCATTTGCAGTGCGGTGGGTGCCAAATGGTAACACGAATAAATTGTGGGTGCTGCTGTGTGACCCATAACGGGGGGACAACCTGAGACACCCAGCCCCACGGGGCCGTTCCTCCCCACCACCCCCGGGGACGGACAGACCTGAGAAGTTGACGTTGCGGATGTACTTGAGCAGCTCCACGCCGTCCACCGGGTCCATCCTGGGGCACAGCCCCACCTTGCCAGGGCACAGGTTCTTGTGCATGTCGTGCAGAGCGTGCCCCATGGCGTAGACAGCATCGATGACAAACTGAACCTTGCCCTCCTGCTCGTACGAGGAGTCCTGGCCGATCCGCTCTCGGTCTGAGGATACACGTAAAGCAGGGCTGCCATCTCCCTGCCGTTCCAGCCATTCCCCGCAGGGACGTTTCTGCTGCAGCCAAACCCTTGCAGACAAGCCCGCTCTGGACCGAAGCAGCTGGAAACTCCAACCCCATTCCCAAAGCTACAAACCCATCAGCCAGCCGGGGCACCTCTTTCCCAGCAGGAAGCTTATGCGACCTAGGCATGCCCCAGGAAGGAGCTGCAGGACAGAAATGCATCTCAAACACCACCAAACTCCTCCCAAAACAAAACCCACATTGCAGATGTATTTCGCAGTGCCAGCCCAGGGCACCAGCTGTGTCTGCAGTGCCAGGGCTCAGGGCTCAAGCCTCTACCCCAGCTGAAAGTCCTCCCGTCACCTGTGTGTCCCTTGTCAGGAGGGACAGTCGGGGGACGCTATGGCTCTCACCCCAGCCCCTCTGAGCAGCACGCCGGGAAGGTTTGGGGTACGTGAGCTGGCCTCTGCAGGCAGGAGGAGGGTGACGTGCAGCCAAGAAACTCATTCACTGGGGAAATACCCAACCAACTTCCCTGGAATGTAGTTCTGAAAATGTGGGTGCTGGCACTCAGCTGTGCTTCCAAGAGCCCTTGCGCTGTCACGTCCCAGTGCCATGGGACATCCCTGTACTCCCAGGTCCACCAGCAGGACGCGGGCTGGGCTGTGATCGATGTCCCATCCTCACCCCCGTGGCCTGACCTCCTTCATCTTGCCAAGAGCTCGCACTAGCTCAGTCTCTATCAGCGGTGTCAAGGGACCGCCCAGGCAGTATCCATCACTGGCTGTGTCTCCTCCATCTCATTCCCGAAGCCTCCTGTCACCCTGCTCCCCTCATCACCCCCTGCCACCCTCCCACCCCACTGACCCCGCAGCCCTTTGCAGCCTCCCTGGCTATCCCGGCTTGCAGGATCCTGCAAGGATCTGGTAATTACCAGCAACAGCTGCCTGCCTCTCCTGTCATAACCGCCCTTAATGGGACTAGAAACATGTTAATCATTTAGCAAAAGACACCGATTAATGTAGCACGCTGTTAATTACAGCTAAGAAAGCGTCTCCCATGGGGTGACGCTGCATCGGAGAGCCACGGCCTCTGCACCTCCATCACTGCCTCTGCAGCATGGCCGGGCACCCTGCCAGGCCACAGCTCCTTCAGCGACAGTGAAAGGGAAGAAGGGTTCCTCAGGGAGCCGGAGGCACAGCCTTCAACCTCCAGAGAGGCAGAGGCATCCTAGAAAGCCATCCAAGGCTGTCCAAAATTAATTCTGGCTCCACCATGCACGGATGCTCCCTGATGCAAGGTGTGGATTTACGGTGACTGCAGGGGACCAGGGCACAGAACGTGTGGAGCCGGGGACAGAAAAGGCACAGGCAAGCAGTGGTTGCTGATCCCCTCCCTCCCCGCTGCGGGAAGGTGGGACGAAGCCAGCGCTGGATGCGGAGCAAATCTCCGTCGAGCAGGGATGTCCCCGAGAACCACGCGCTCGGAGGTCCCTGTGCCGGGACGGAGTGCGAAACGTGCCACTGACAAGACACTAAAGCAAATTGATAGCAAACTGACCAACAAGAAAAGATGATATCGAGGAGGTGAATTTATAGCCCATCCTTCAAAGTTATGAAAATGCTTTTGGACTACGTGGAGATTACTCATGCGAAACCCGTCAAGTTATCCTTTCTTCTACATTATTGACAAGGGCTATTAATCTTCTCCCTCAACTTCGGGCCTTTCCCCGCATTCATCTCTCAAGGCGCAGACAAGCCACTCTATCTTGTCAAGATAATTACCCATTAAAAAAAAAGGGTGTAATAGACTGTCCAGGGGAGCTGAGCCCGTGGGGATGTCCCAGCCCCGCTGCCACCCCTGGCACCATCCTGCCGCCCCGCAGAGGCTGCTGAGCCCAGGGGACACGCAGGACCCAGGACTCGTCCCTTCCCAGCTCCTCGGCTTCCTAGCAGGCACCTCAAATCCCACGCAGGTCCCAGCAAGTAAAATACAACCCGCTGTGATAACACAGGCTGTGGAGGCTGGATTTTCCTCCCAAACGTCGCTCTGGCTTGCAGCGAGCAGCACCAGCTTAGCACGGTGGGAGAAGCCGGCTCCGGTGCCAAAGCTGAGCCGTTGCAGATAAGCAGACGTCTCTGGGGCCGTCCGTCGGGCACCTTGCCCCAGGCCCCAGCTGCTTTTTGCAGACAGGAGTTAGGCTGGTGCACAGAGGGGCCAACGTGGAGCAGAAAGCCGAGGCTTGTTTCTGACATGGAGACAATAAATCTCCACCAAACTCACAGTAGATTAGGGCCACAAAAGAGATGTGACCCCACTGATTATAATAGCGGGGTCGTGCATCATTCTACAGGGCTGATAATTAATTTTCAAGTGCATGATGAGCCTCCGTGGGCACCCCTCGGAGGACAGATGCTGCTATCTTCTCAAGTGGTGGATGAGACAGGATTAGCATCAATCCCCATCACATTGCCAGTGCCGGCTTTCAACAGGAGTTAATCAAAATCGCTCACAGTGCTGCTCCAGAGAGCTGGGGGACGGTGTCACCTCTGAATCTCCGAATCTCATGGGTGCTGGCAGCAGCACCCAGCACCCATCACTGCGTTTTCGGGCTAGGTGAGCCCATCTGGGGAGCAGGGACTGTCCCCTCGTGAGGGATGCTCGCTGCAAACATCTCTCTCTCTGCAACGAGGGCTTGAGCTGCCCTCGCAGCAAGGCTGGCAGTGCCCGTTTGGACAGCCGGTGGATCTGAAGGAAAGCCAAGCAGAGGCATTGCCGGGACGCCCCTGCCCGCTCAGACCCGACCTCGGTCAACAGGAGCCTTTTATCATCTTAACTACCAGGCAAGCAGTGCAAATCCTCCCCCGTTGGCCTGGCTGGGGCACGCTGTGCTGGAAAACAGCCAGTGCCACAAAAAAAACAACCCCATATTAAGAAGAGACCGGAGAGAAGCAAAACAGAAAGGGAAAAGAATATGAAGAAACACAAATAAAGAAGGAAAATCAAATAAAAGCTCCTCTACCCCCCCGCCCATGTTGCTGCTCTGCATCTATCCGCAGCCTGGTCGGGCGGAGGTGAGCGCGCAGAGAAATCCCCAGCCCTGCTTCAAAGCAGAGTTACCATCCAGCCCTGCTAAACGAAGGCCGTTAATTAGCTCTCCTGGAAAAAGAGTAGCTCGTAGGGCCTGGGAGCATCCTGCGGTCCCCGTGAGGGCGGCAGGTGGGGGGACGCAGCCCCGAGTCATGCCCCGTCCTCCTGCCCTTGTCACCCCATTGGCCCGGCAAACCCAGCGCTGCCATCGGCTCCTCCATGTCCGCTCGCAGCACCCCAGCACCTCCCCGTCTGCATCCGCACGTGTGTGAATTATTAACGAAGCGGCGGCTGGCAGGATCCTTTCCAGCCCGGCTGGCCGGGGATGCGCAGGGGCTGGCTCCCCCGTGGGAGCCTGCCCAACCCGGGAGGGTCAGGGATGCAGCCCGGTGGAGGGAGTTTGGAGGTGGGGAAGGATGCTGAGAAGATCCTACTGCAAAAGCAGCTGGGAGATGGGTCCTTGCCTGATCGTGGTCCCAGCAGGACAGTCTGGGGAAGGAGTGCACAGGTCCTGATGGGTGCTAGGACTGGTCTCGGGGATAATGCGAGCAGCTGCCAGCGGGAATTGCCCCAAAACCTGGTGCCCACCCCAGCCCTCGCGCCTCACCCTCCTCCCAGCTCTCCCATACGTGAACGAGAGCCATGAGCTGTCCTGTTCGGTGGTGGGACCCTTCGGTTTGGTTTTTGGGATGCAAAAGCAAGCAAAGCTGGCATTTCTCTGTGCCTGTTGGTCTCTACCCAAACTTGAAGCTCGTGGGGAAAGTCAGTACAAGTCCCTCTAGAAAAGAGCCCCAAATGGGACACTTGCATAAGCCATGCAAAGCGCAGGAGCTCAGGGAACAGCACAGGCAGGTTATTTGCTTCATCGTGCATTATTTCCCCTCTCTGTTTATCTGTCAAGGAAACATTCAAGAGAGAATTTATTTGCTGACAAATTCAGATAATTTAAAGACAGTTCCTAGGACATTTGCCATGTCGTGGTTTCAGCTGCCTCCACTAATACCTTGGCCCTGAAATATTGCTTGTTTAAATGCCACATTACTATGAAGATGAAGAGATCAGCGGTTTGCAGGACCTGCTCAGCATTTCCTGGTGCCGGGGATTTCTTGATACTATCGGGAAAGATGAGGAGCTCTCAGCTACCCAAGGCCACGGCCACGGGCAAGTTTTCTTGCATGCTCTTGCTGCTTACCAAGCTCACGCCTATGCATTAGCCACAAGACTACCTGGGGAAGCTGCAGCATTGGAAAGCCCTTGTGGGGACAGAGACATGTCCCCAGATCATCAGCTGAACATTTGGGGAATGTCTGCAAGGGAGATGACGTAGGAGCACCATCCCTCTCAACCTCAGAGATAAAAACGGGAAAAAAAATAAATCCTTAATGATCAAACTTTCCAGGCACGGCCAGGTCCATCTGCCCGCCAGCACACCACGGCTTCCACAGACATCCCTCCCAAGGAGACGGGGGGACGCGCCAACGTCCCCAAGTCCTGCCACGTCACAGCCTGCGAGCCGCCACGTCGTTATCTGTCTTCAGCTGGTGCCAGGCAGGCAGTAAATCTCTCCCATCTCTTAGTAAACGTCACCTCCTTGAGCCTCCAACCATCACCTCGGCCACAGCGCTGTCAGCAAGACAGATCCCCTGGTTGCCTTGTTTACTGCATTAATCCCTACAAGCCTCTTTTAGCTGGAAATAGCTGAAAACGCACAGCGAGGGGTGAGGAGGGGGCCTGGCATCAGGCTCTGCCGGGACGAGGCTCCCTGCCTGGAGCGACAAAGGGGCACATCAGCAAAGCAGTTTGCAACAAGACACGGGCAAACACCACTCCAGCACGTGCCCCGGGGCGATCACCTCCTCTCCAGGCACCCCTGCACCCTCCCGTGGGGTGCCTGGCAGCACCCTCCCTGCGGGCATGGGCATGCTGCGGCCGCAGCCTCAATGCTGGCTAAGCAAGAGCCGGATCCTGACCCTGCGCTATCAATTGGCCTCATTTCTTTGCAACCACCCCAGGTTTTAGACTGCTCAGGTGAGATAGGAGCTGCTTGCAAGGGAGCAAGGATGCATCGGTGGCTTCGTACCTGACATGGGACAACAGTGCTTCTGCCAAGCACACGATGAGAAAGAGGCAGTTGTCCAAATGCTGCAAAACAATGCAGAATTCAGACCCAAATCCCCCAAATTTGGGTGGTTTTGTACCCACGGAAGACGGGGCCAGGGGAAGGGAGCTGTGCAAGAAGCGTGCATGAGAGGGAGCAGCCCTGGGAGCTTTGCACAGGGACTGTGCTTTAGCACAGACACAAACCAAGCAGGCTCCACATGCTTCCTGAATCACACACAGCACATGGGGATGCACAAAAGCATTTTTGTGC